TGGCAACAGAAATTGACATTTCATTGGTTTTCTGATAATTCTGTAAAGACACCCTATATATAAACAAATACATGTTGTTCAAAAACCTAATCCTCATTATTCCTTTCCTTTCACAATCAATAATAGTTTCATGAGATCTGTGGCAAACTTGAGTCCCAATTTTTAGTTATGAATGTAGAGCTACATTGGATGAACATGATTGCTGAGATAGAGTTTGTGTCCTTCATTGAAATAGCCAACATGACTATTTTTCATTGGCATCACTCCATGCAAAGCAGTAAAGCCACTGAGACACAAGGGGTTACAGGGTGTGGAAGAATTAGGAACAGAAACATTAATAATGAGCTGGAAGAGAAAAGAGTAATCGGAGGACAGTAGATAGCAAATGACATTGTATTTAAATTTTTTGCAGATTAAAGTTGGCTGGAAAGTATACAGCTGGAAAGGAGTTCCACAGGTGAGAAATGCAACAAAAGAAATTGTTAGCATAGGATTTATAGCTATACCTCTGCCGGCTCAAGTGTAAATTGATGAGCTCTAGATGCCAATCTCATATTGTGCTTAAATTCAAAAAGTCTAGGTAACATAGTGAAGAGTGATATTTATTCTGCTATGTATAGAAATGTGGTACAAGGCCAAAATGGGAATGAGGAAAAGGACAGTCTTCTTCTGTCTTAACATTAAACTTAGCTAGCCACAAACACTGACTCAATACTTCTTACACTAAAACAATGCATTCTTACTTACCTTTCTTACTACATCCACCATACTATCACAGTGTCTCTATGAAAGTCCTAACTAGTCCCCATATGTACAATTCATTGTTTGGGGTGGGGGGTTGAAAACAACAAATTTAAAAAAAATCTAACCCAATGAATATTTACAAAAATGTACAAAACTATTTACAAGAAACTAAACAAAATAATGTTATTAACAAAACTCCCTACAATCCCTAAATGTGGCAGAAACATAGTGAAGAGCTCATCCAAACAAAATAGAAATAGACAGAAAAGATAACATTAGAAAAATGAAGAACATGAAGAAAAATGGATTTTATGACTCAAAAAACTTTGTCCAACATCAATAGATTTAATATATAACCCCATAAATCAAGCTCTACCCACATTTCTCTCCCACACAAGGCAATCGTGCTTGCAGAGATGTACTAATATATACACTGACACACATCATATGTACTCCCAAAGAACTAACAGGTAACATATACTTAACACACACACATCCCCTTCCCAGAAACCAACAAAACTGTCAAAATGACCAAGAAGGAAATTCTGAATGTCCCCAGTCTCTATCATAAAAACAACTTAAAAGAGGCCATTTGACCAACACAAAGACTGATCAAAATTAACAATAAAAAACAAATGAAAACTGCAGATAAAATTTACTTTCTTCAGAAACAGTCAGTCATTCTTGTAGTTCACTGTTACTTACAAGCAGGAATTTTTTTCTCCTGATGATGGCCATGCTGTCTGAAACTAATTGAAGAAACCTAATTGAAATAATAAAAAAAAAGTATTAATATACAACCCACTGTGTCTGAAAAAATGTTAATTTTTAATAGTTTTTATTGTTTAAAATATATATATATATATATATATATATATATATATATATATATTTTTAATATATATATATATATATATATATATATATATATATATATATACATATACATGTCATGTATGTATATATACTGATACCCTCTGACAAGTGGGCGGAGTCATTGCTGGAGGCTCTGTCTTATGAAACTCTGGAGTTGGAATGCTTAAGGTAACACCAATCAGCTAAGTGACAAACTTTATATTTTTATTTTTTATATATATATATATATATATATATATATATATATATATATATATAATATATACATAAAATTCCCAGAATTGAGAAAACAAAACATTTATTAATGTTGCACATGAATGTTTATGATCAAAAGAAGCTAATAAATAAGATAATCAAACAAATAATAACAGATACAAACAAAGGCACAGTTTTAAACAAATTAATAGGGAATGTGCTTTCCTGTTTTGAAATTACTTGAAGAGGTCGATGATCCATAGAATTTGTTAATTGTAGGATGTCATCTGCTGTAATGCCGCGAGATATGTCAAGAATTGCTTCCCACAACTCAGTGTTGCTCCTGAATTGTCGTCCGTTGGCGTACAGTCTTCGCTTCATGATGCTCCAAATGTTTTCGATTGGGTTCAAATCCAGAGAATTTGCTGGCCACTTCATTTTTTGAGGTCCATTGAAGCCTAACTGTTTCAAATATTCAGCAGTCTTGTGAGCAGCATGTGAGGGAGCATTATCTTGCATAAAAAACAATGGCCCTTCTGAAGGCAACTCTTTGCCTTTTCATCCACGGTTCAAAATGCTCCTTCATAAATGCTATGTATGCATCAGCAGTCATTTTGACGCCATCTGGCACTCTCCATGGGCCCACTAATGTTTTTCCAATAATACCACCCTAGATCATTATGCCTCCACCGCCTTGTTGGCGTCTCAAACGCTGATGGCGATTCTCTCCGTTCATTACCCAGCCTTTGCACCATCTATCTGGCCCATCAAGTGTTGCTTGAGTTTCATCTGTGAACAAAACTTTAGAGAAGTCAATCTTCATATTGTCCTTGGCCCATTTCCATCGATTTTGAATGTGATTTCTCATCAATGGGGAGCTTCGATACAAGTTTGACTGTTGTTGCTATTTCCCTCAGATACCGACACCGAGTAATTTTAGACACAGTAGGATCCCCAATGCGACTGAAAAGCTCTTGACTGGTAAGTCCAGCATTCTTCATGGCCTCTTGTTTAAGTTGTGACATGAGACGATGTGAAATAACCCTCGGCTTGGCTTTATCTGCCCTTTTGCGTACTTGTGTAGGGTCGGCGGTGAAATTTTTCAGTGTTTGATGACACCTCCCTATCATTTTAGAAATTTCTAGGGTAGATTTACCTTTTGAGAGTTCTGAGGTAATAGTTTTCTTTTCAGCATCATTTAAACTTCTTTTCCGGCTCATCTTTTCATTAAATTCATACACTTTTATAATAATTTGACATGCTCAAATCACTGTGCTGATAACAAATATGGCGCCAGTTTGTTTACCTTGTGCAGATCAGTATGAAAATTTCAGTGATTCTGTAGGTCAGTGTTGCCAACATTGTGTGAAAATTTTGTGTGAATTGATTGAACAGTTTTTGAAATATTAGAAAAAAAGATATCTCGATAATAATTTAACGCAGTGCATATATATATATATATATATATATATATATATATATATATATATATATATAGAAAGAAAGAGAGAGAGAGAGAGAGAGAGAGAGAGAGAGAGGATTTGTGCAAATAAAGTTTCTCACTGAGATGATTGATGTAACCTTCAGCATCCAGACCACAGAGTTTCATAGATGAACCTGTCTGTCCACTCTTCAGTGGGTATCAGAAATTTACTTCTCACATTTTTGTGATTTTTTTCCTTTAATGCATATTTAACACTTCTGTATTGTCTGTGTTATTTAATCATTTCACCCCAAACAAGGTGATAAAGCCATCAGACACAAGGTGTTACTGGGAGTAAAAGAGAATGAGAAAGATTTATTGAGGGGGTGCGTGGGAAATAAAAGGACAGAATTTAAGGAGACAGAAGATTGTGATTGACATTGCATATAAATATTTGAAGATCGTAGTTGACAGAAAAGCTAGAAGATAAAAGAGAGTACCACAAATGAGAAGTGTGAGTGAAGAAACTGTCAACATAGGACTTACAGTTACACCTACCAATGTTGGCTGTAAAATGATGAGCCCCAGTTGCCAATCTAGTACTGCACTTAAATTCATAAATTCTAGGTACCATAGAGGAAAGCTCTTCAGAACAATTACCATAAAGAGATTTATAGAAATGGCACAGAGAATACATATTATGGTGGTGGGAAAATGACTGAAGCTGAGATGCCAGGTCAGGGCTGATAACATTGCAGATTAAGCTTTGGATTTTATCAAGAATCTCTAGATACATAGCAGAAGTACCAGACAAGATATGGCAGCAATATTCAATGCATAGACAAATGGTAGACTTATAAATATGTAAGAAAGATTTTGACCATGAAGAAACTTTACCGATCAAGCAAGGCTGAATAGAGTTTTTAAGCAAAATCCTTCTTTTTATAAATTCTCAAAATTTCTTATCTGCTCAGATTTGTATCTTAATGCAAACAAAGCAATTTCTAAAGAATTAATGGATTTTTTATTTATTAATCCAACAGATTTTATCACTTTAGACATTATTTTTTAGTGGATACTCATATTTAAGTAGACACTTGGTATATTTATTAAACAGTGTATTTATTTATTTTCATCTACTGGCCTGAATATTCACAAAATCTTATTAAAAAAATATGCTCTCTCTGGAGAATTTGAACCTGAATCTCCCTGGGTAGAAGGAACTGTCAATGTACTTTTGATCGACTGAGCTACAGAGAACTTAGCAGATCAGGCAGTCAATTGAGATTAGGTTGGATCTAATGACATTTCTCTCAATAGATGCAGGTTCGAATCCTGCTGAAGAGTGCATATTTTCTTTAATAAGATTTCCAGTAGAGTTTAATAACTAAGTAGAGTGTCTACTCAAATACAAGTATCCACTAAAAAATTACATTTTAAGTGATTATATATATATATATATATATATATATATATATATATATATATATACAGAGAGAGAGAGAGAGAAGAAATAGGTCAATTGACAGAGAGAGAGAGAAGAAATAGATCAATTGACAGAGAGAAGGCGAGAGGAAGAAGAAGAAGAAATAGATCAATTCGCAGATAGAAAGATAGAGATAGAAGAAGAAGAAATAAATCACTTGATAGAGAGAAAGAGAGAGAAGAAGAAATTGATCACTTGAGAGAGAGAGAGTGAGAGAGAAGAAGAAATAGATCAATTGAAAGAGAGAGAGAGAGAGAGAGAGAAAAAATAGGTCGGTCAACAGAGAGAGAGAGAGAGAAGAAATAGATCAATTGACAGAGAGAGAAGAAGAAGAAGAAGAAATAGATCAATTGACAGAGAGAAAGAGAGAGAGGGAAGAAGAAGAAATAGATCAATAGACAGAGAGAGGGAGAGATAGGAAAGAAGAAGAAGAAGAAGAAGAAGAAGAAATAGATCAATTGATAGAGAGAAAGAGAGAGAGGGAAGAAGAAGAAATAGATCAATAGACAGAGAGAGGGAGAGATAGAAGAAGCAGAAGAAGAAGAAGAAGAAGAAGAAGAAGAAGAAATAGATCAATTGATAGAGAGAGAGAGAGAGAAGAAGAAGAAATACAACACTTGATAGAGAGAAAAAGAGAGAAGAAGAAACTAATTGACAGAGAGAGAGTGAGAGAGAAGAAGAAATAGATCAATTGAAAGAGAGAGAGAGAGAGAGAGAGAGAGAGAGAGAAGAAATAGGTTGGTCGACAGAGAGAGAGAGAGAAGAAATAGATCAATTGACAGAGAGAGAGAAGAAGAAGAAGAAGAAATAGATCAATTGACAGAGAGAAAGAGAGAGAGGGAAGAAGAAGAAATAGATCAATAGACAGAGAGAGGGAGAGATAGGAAAGAAGAAGCAGAAGAAGAAGTAGAAGAATAAGATCAATTGATAGAGAGAAAGAGGGAGAGGGAAGAAGAAGAAGAAATAGATCAATAGACAGAGAGAGGGAGAGATAGAAGGCAGAAGAAGAAGAAGAAGAAGAAATAGATCAATTGATAGAGAGAGAGAGAAGAAGAAATACAACACTTGATAGAGAGAAAAAGAGAGAAGAAGAAACTAATTAATTGACAGAGAGAGAGAGTGAGAGAGAAGAAGAAATAGATCAATTAAAAGAGAGAGGGAAAATAGATTAATTGACAGACAGAAAGAAGAAGAAAAAATTGATCAATTGACAGAGAGAGAGGAAATAGATCAATCGACAGGGAGAAAGAGAGAGAGAAGAAGAAGAAATAGATCAATTGACAGAGAGAGAGAAAGAGAGAGAGAGAGAGATATCCAAAAATGATGAAAGTCTAAATATGTGTCTATAACTTTTACTGATGATACACCTCGCCTAGATGAAGATTATTGTCATTTCATACATTTTAATGTTCACACCAGAGATTTGGTGTTTATCACTAAAAATTGAATAACAGCAAGTTATTTATTCCCTATATAGATTGTGAATTATTCATATATCCTTTCAATTTAAGCTGATTGTTACTCTTCAGGGAATCTATAACTTTTTTTTTATTTTTTAACAATTTCTGTCTTCAAACTTAAAACAAATTACAAAAAATAAATAAAATATCTGGGAGAAGCAGCTGCTCATTTGACGAGTACAAACACTAAAATACGATTACATGGTAATGTTAAAATTAGATGTTTCCTTATAAGGAAACATTTAACATTCAGTGACCAATTAGCCAGTACTGCTTTCAGTTGAAATTTATAAAATCTTCTTTAAAATATTTTTTCAGGAAAATAGGTCTCTCAAGGCTGTTATCGCTGTTTCCAATATTGATAGCAGTTTCCTTTTTAACCTTTTGTTTGAAGTAGTGTGGAACGTCAATATCTATATTATGTCATTATTTTCTCTTCAGGTTATATGTGATATCCATTTTAGTCTTCAAGTGATGTGGTTTCTGTTATCTGGCACGGTTCTTTGTGATTCTCTAGTGCCAGTTCACAATGGTTGAAGAAATATGGATCTCGGTAAGATTTTTAGGTCTTGTTTGGTCAAAGCCATTTTTAACTATTGATCTTAGAAAGCAGTTGTATATAACTGTATATAACTGTATATAACTGTATATAACGATGCATGGTGTCTATATGAAAGTATCCATCTGATGAGACTATTTAAGAACCTGAGTTGTTTTTTTAGGTCAATGTTTTGGTTTTGTAGCAGTTAGTGATGATGCAGGAAACCACCACAAGCACAGCTTATTAAATATTGAATTTCCTTATCTCCTATACTAAATTTGTTATAACTGATCCATACACTTAGGTATTTGAAATGTTTAATATTTACTAAGCTGCTCTCATTTAACCACCTGAGAGAAACATCCCCTCTCTCCATCAACATGGTTGATGCTCATCTCCATGGGAGCCTCTCACTGCACCTTCTTGGCCTCACATTTTTAATTGACTTAAAGTGGAACAACTACATTGAATCCATAGCTGCATCTACTGCAAGGAAAGTTGTTTCTCTGTTTCATGCCAAAAGGTATTTCTTGTCTGAGACCATCTACAAATCCCCCATTCGTCCTTGCATTGAATACTGTTGCCATATCTGGTCTGGTGCCTCTGCTGTTCATCTCAAGGTTCTCAATAAAATCCAAAGAAGGATCTACAATGTAATTGGCCCTGAATTGGCTTCTTGACTTCAGACGCTTTCTCACAGATGTGATGTGGCTTCCCTCTGTCTTTTCTACAAATATTTTTATGGCTACTGCTTGATGAGCTTTTTTCCCTGGTGCACTGACTACATGAATTTAAACGTTCTACTAGATTGGCATCTAGGTCCCACCCATTTACTGCTGAAATAATTAAATGTAACAGCAACTTCTACTCCAACAGTTTCATTCCTCATATTTCCTGATATTAGGCCAACCTTCCTTTCACTTGCTTCACTGAGACCTACAATCTTCAAAACTTTAAATGCAACATCAATTGCCATCTTCTGTAGTCTTGATCCCTGTCCTTTTGCCATTCTTCAATCTCCCCTGCATCCAATCTTTTCTCTCACTTTCATTCTCCATAAGTCCCTGCGTGCTAGTGGCACTCCTGCCTTGCTTGGGGTGAAATGCTTAAAAAAATTTCCATATTCTGGATTTTTATGATGGAGTCATGGTATGTGGCATCCCTGCTTTCATTCCAGTTTCAAAATTTTTTATCAGTATAGAATGTAGAACAATTATAACTTAACTCACCTTAATTATAGTTGAGAGGGCTTACTTTATTCAAAATAGGAAATCAGACAAGAAATACAATTTCTTCTTCAATCCATTGTGTCTAACCCCTTCTGACCATATAAAAAGGCAAAAATATTTCAGGAACCTTGCTTTATCTACATTTACTTGGCAAAACCAAATAATTCTGGAGTACTAATATATTGTATGACTAGATTATGTGCTTTACTTTCATTTGACCATGTAAATGTGTTCTTATTTATGTTATTTACATTTAGACTAATATTCTCGTCTTTGTTGTTATTGTCACAACTTTTCACTTTTCATTGGTTCATAAATTTGGTGGTATGGAAATTGTGAGTTCAGTCCCTGGGCTGGGTAGTACATCCTTAGCCTCAGTAGCAATAGGGTAAGCAATAACTGTGGAGTACTAAAATAAAATAAAATAGTGAGGTATTCATAGATATGGACAATGCAATAAAAAATTCTACCCCTGTAGATTAAATAAAGGGTTCAGTTCAAAATTCCTTGAAGACTACCCAGATTGACAGATACCTGAAGAAGTCTGGAGAACACAACAGCTGAAACATTGTGATAATAACAACAAAGATGAGGACATTAATTTGGATGTAAATAATATAAATAATGATAAATTCTCATCACAGAAATTCAGATAGTAATGACATGTCCTTTTCTTTTATCAGTAGAATTTTTTGCAACATGCTGATGTGTGTTGAAATTCTCACAGTATTTAGTATTGTTCAAGTTATCATTAATGTTTTTGTCGAGATTTACAAACTCTACATTTCATTCAATTTTGCAAACCAATCGATAAAATTTGAAGAAGCTGATTTGTTCAGAAAAATACTTTGACAAAAACCCTACTTAGCGGTTTAATAATTTCTTTAATTTAATTTAATTTTATAAGACTTCATGGTAAACAATATCTTTTAAGAAAATTTCTTTTTTTCCTTTTTAATAGTGAAGAATAAATTCTTAGAATTTCTTAATCTTGCAAATTCAGAGTCAACTGGATTCTTGCTAAAAAAAAAAATTGGTCTTTGGAAAGTTATAAAAATACCTAAAAAGTAGTCAAAATCAAGTTCTTTTTGCTTGAAAACAACTGATTTCAACCAGTTTAGGCAGCTTACATAAAGTTATAATAAAAAAAAAAAAAATTAGTACTGGACTTTGTACCCTCTTACTTACTGGCACTTCTCCCCAAAATTTGATTTTGATTGGCTATTTTAGAGGGTGTGATAGATGGACAGACTAATGGAAATCACAGAATTTTCTATATATATATATATATATATATATATATATATAGATAGATAGATAGATAGATAGATAGATAACACTATGGCTTTTTAGAAAGAAGTCACATTGTTGAATATACTATAACTTTACTGCATTCTGTTTTTGCCTTTATTAACACTTTTACTCCTGCATTGTTATTGCATTGTTGCCTAGCTGTGCTGGTTCATTTGGGGGAAATAGGAAATTGCCCTTTACTGGAAACAAATCACTATCAAGATGTTGGAGTTGACGGACACTCCTGTCTTGGTTTCAATCAGATACACTACAGTACAGACTAAGCTAAATGACATGACCAACACATAATACACCATAAAACAGGTCATATTATACACTCTTATATATGTATACCAGGTTGGAAATTCTACTAAGTATTAGTTTATAATATATTCCATTGGTAAGGAGGAAGATCCACTCAGACAACCTTCCCAAGAACTACTATTCTGTAGAACAGGCCCCTGCATGGATGCTTTCTCAAACATGAGGTTCACACTCCTTCCCTGTCTTTTGAACAGGAATAGAGATTTATCCTTTGTTCCCTGTTTAGGGTTGGGTTTCTGGTTCCTTCTAAAATCTTTTTCCTCTCACTTCCAGCAGCCCCTTGTGTCTTAGTGGCATTATCGCCTTGAACTGATTAAAAAAAATCTTAACATTTTCAAGTCTAGGGTCAATTGTTATCTATCCTTCATATCCTCCAAAATGTCACTTCTTATTTCCACCTCTTATATTCATCTCTTATATTCACAGCACACACCTCATTCAGTAACCCTCTACCTCAAGTGGCTCTTGAGACTTTTGCTGAATGAACATTAGTAAAAAAGCAAAATATTAGGGATCAACATTTCACAGTTTCTTGATCATGTATACATACATAACTCAATAACAGGCAATGTCAGTTCTGTAAAGACAGATGAACAAGTCTTGTAAATGTATGCATTTGTCAACTGCAGGCTATGTCAGTTTCGTAAAGATGTATAAGCATGTCAACAGCAGCAGAAGTGTTAATCTCACCAGTGAAAAAAGATGCTATGCTCAACGAATTATTTCGGTAAGCATTCTGATCGTATATCTGTAACGACAATGATTGTTTTAAATTTGATTTACAAGACTGTACTCTTCTTTTTAGATTTAAAATGATGTATGAATTTCATTTATTGGAATAAACTATCAGTTGACTAACTATATTCTGAAAATCGATGAATTTAAATTCTTAGCCTTTCAAAAATATGTTGTCCTCTCTTATTAAATTAAGTGTTAATAAATGTATGCTAATTTAACAAACATAGAGCTGAAATTTCTTTTTATTGTTATTAGCTTAAGTATTGTATGGGAATATGAGAAGTCAAGCAATAAACAAAACATAACCCTATGATTAAAGATAGCATCATTTGATTGGTTAAGATTTCTTTTTTGTCGGCCATCTTGATTAAGTTAACTGCTACTGAACATTTTCTGACTATCTTTCATAATTAAGGCTGGGCCACTTTTAGAGAATAAGCATCATGTCTTTTTGTCTTACATAAAAGGATATCGTTCATAATGTGATACAATTTTTTGTGGATTTTCTTGGTGAGCCAGGAAATGTTAAAAGAAGTATGACACAAATTTAGATATAAAGAAGAAACAGAAGAAAGTTGTGAAACAGAATAAAAGGAAACGAATAAAAGGCAAGCATGAGATTTTAAATATTTGTACAACGGAAAAGATTTTAAAGAAACTAATGAATAAGTAGAAGATTGTAAATATCTTGAGAAAAAAGATTTTGGAGAAGAAAAGAAAGAGTTATACCATGAAAATTCTGAAAAAGAAAATGGAAGATTCTAAATCTGAAAGTAATTCTGAAGAATAATGGATATGAAAGTCAAAGAAGAATGAAAGAAGGAGGTGATGAAGTAAGAAAGAAAAAGTTTAAGTATGGAATGAAAAAACCCAAATATCAAAAGAGATGGATAAGAAGAAAAAGAATGAAAATGGAAAACAGATGAAAAATGTAGTACAGGAAATAGATGAGGAAAAATTTAAAAGAGCAAAGAAAAAATTGTTTTTTTAAAAAAAGGGGAAAAAAAAGTTCCGAATGTTATGAATGAAAGCAATCCAAGCATTT